AGGGTCTCCAGGGTGTTCAGGGTCTCACTACTAGATCAGACTCGTAGTGATCCGCCTGTCTATAGCCTCCCAAGAGCTGGGATTACAAGAGCACACCACCACACCTGCCCCGGGCAATCTCAATTGCTGGCTCAGCGTGCCCCGGGGGCGGGGCTGGGTGCAGGTAGCCCTACTCTTGCAGGACTCACCTCCAGACACAAAAGACAATGCTCAACTGTTCACTGTCATGTCAGCAGTGATTAGCTTCGCTACCTATGTACATATATATCTCCACACATATCTATGCAATTTTTATTGAAAGCACTAGAGACTGAATCCAGGGCCTTGTGCATGCCAGGGAAGTGCTGTACCACTGAGTTCTTTCCTTAGCCCTTTCTGTCACCCTTGGGACAGGATCTAAGGTGCCCATTCTGGTTCTTGGTTCTAAAGTATGGAGTATCTGCATGGCACCCTTGTGCTGGGGCCATGGTAACCCTCTCTGTAGCATTCCAATTTTAGTGTATGTGCCACCAAAGCCAGCACACCCGTTGGCGGTTTTGATGTGGCCATCACGCCTCAGCCGCCTAGGTGACTGGCACTGCAGGTGCGTGTCACAGCATGAGCTGAGGGAATCCTTAATTTTGAAAATCAAAATATTTGAGACTGAGAGGTATGAACAGCATTATGACTCACAAAGCTTATTCTCCTTCAGGAGGGACTCAAACTGTCCTAGGGGGCCTGCATCCGGCAGTGCTTGGGACACGCCCGAGGCATGCCCAAGGCAGCAACCCGGGAAGCTCAGCTGCCCTCAAGGGATCTTCAGCACTAAGAACTCTTAAAGTGTCAGCAAGGGCCATTTCTAGCAGACTACTGTCTCTGTGGAATTCTTTTTTTCTTTTTGGTGGAACTGGGGATTGAACTCAGGTCCCTGTGCTTGCCAGGGAAGCACTTATGCTGCTGAGCCATCTCCCTGGCCCTGGAATTATTTCTAAAATGCTTTCAGTATTCATTTGATAACTATTGAAATGTTGCTTCACTGTGGTGCTTACCTCTACTTTTTTTTTTTTTTTTTTTCCTGAGACAGAGTCTCACTGTGTAGTTCAGGATGTTCTTGAACTATGTAGCCCACGCTGGCCTGGAATTCAAGACGATTCTCCTGCCTCTGCCTCACAAGTGCTGGGATTACGGGCATGTACCACTGTGCCCAGCCCTACGTTGCTTTATTCATTTAACTAGAGACGAAAGATGCAGGTCTATCACATGCAGAGGGAAAGACAAACTCTTCATTACTCTGCATTTTCTTTTTGAAAACACCATAATGAACAACCCATGAAGGTATCTGCCTAACAACAGATGCAGAATCAGCTCCTGTCAGGCAAAATTCAAGGTAAAGCTGAGGGTTATGTGAGAACAGGGAGTGCAACGAGTGCAA